CACCCCGCAGTTCCCGGGGCTCCTGAGGGAGGAATGGGGCTGGGAGCCGTGCGGCGGCGGCAGGACGAGGGCAGGAATTACCAGCCAGCCTTCCTCTTGCTTCACGGTTCCGGGAACACCCCATTGGGGCAGGTCTGGACCTGCCCGAGCCCCCCGCGAACCCAGCCGAGGGTGTCCCCCGTATCCCACGTCCAATTCTGCCTGCCTGCTCGATGTCCGGGGTCCCCCCTTTCTCTCTCCGCGGTCCCAAGGCTGCCCCAAGCCTGGAATTTCCTTCCTATGGATGGACCCAACAGGATGGTCTGTCACACGCTCCAGCGCCTGCGTCCCGGGCAGGATGCAGGCAGGCAGGGACGGAAACGGCGTCACCTTGTCCGGCCTTGGCTCTTTCCTGCCTCGTCGGTGGCAGGGCGCGGGGCGAGCTGGGGCGTGTTGGTCCCCGTTGTTTTGCTGGTTTGCAGCAGCCCGGGGTGCGGTGCCGACCATCACGGCAGCGGTGGCCGCCTGGGTCTTGGAGGAAGCCAGCCGAGCGGCATGCATGGAGCCCAGAGCGGTGGCCCAGCACTGTCCCCCACCCTGGGGCCACCATCCCGGAGGGTGTCTGCAGCCCAGCTGCTCCGTGGGAGCGGGCAGGACCCGCCCGGTGCCCCAAATTTGGCTCGCATCCCCTCTCCCTCTGCACTGATCCTCCCCAATTCAGCCCCAGGCCGAGGACATCGGGGTGGTGACAAGAGACGGGAGGCTCAGCCCTGGGTTCCCCGTCTCTGTGTGTCTCTGCGTGGCCGGGCGCCCTCCCGAGCCGTCCTCGCCCCCCACAGGAGCCTTCGCTGTGCCCCACAGCCCGGGGCCACCCCCTCCCAGGACTGGGGACCCTCCCCAGTTTGCAGGATGCTGGGCACCAGGGTGGCTTTTGAACAATCCCAGCGCTGGCAATGGGTCCCACTGGGAGCTACAGCGCCCGGCACGGCCCCACAAAAGCCGCTCACCGGAGACCTCCAGCTCCAGCCCTTCCCCATCCCTGGCTGTTAACTGCCAACAAAAAGTAATCAGCAGCACCTGGGCAAAAGCACCCACCCATCCCCGGCACCTCCTGGGGACCCCATGTGCAGACCCCGCACCGGTGTCACCGGTCCCCCCGCCACCAGCACCCAGCCCC